TGAAGGAGAGTGAAAAACTGATAGGTAGGGCCAATGGTTTAAAAGTCCCAAACAGTAAAAGTGAGTTCTAGAGAAAGATGAATAGATAGGAGATAGTGAATGGGCAATGGTGGAAAATTGAAATCAGGATTTGGAATGCATTTCACGTATGTTCTGGTTTAATAACGTACCAGCTTTATGGAGGTTATTTTTGATTTCTCCATTTAAGACATGGGGAAATTATGTTCATAGACATTAAATCACTTGACCAAGGGCATACAGCTAGTAAATGGTAGTATTTGGATGGAAAATTAAATTTATTTTTTGTTTTTAACTCCAAAGCCTTTGTAATATACCAGCTGCCTCTGATTCATGATGGTTTCCCCTAGACAAAGGATAATGATTATTATAGCTGAAAATGTTTGTATTTTATTTGTTTTATATTTCCAGGCTTCTTATGGCATGCAAATTTTAAAAAAGCACTCAGAAAACATTTCTAATTTTAACCTCTACTTCGTTTAAAAAATGAGTTGACCTTTAGAGTGTGGTTTTAAATTTTCTTTCAAAGGCCACCAGCATTCACATGTCAGTATTGAGTAGGCTGTTAGCATGGAGTGAATTTCACCTGATCCATTTACAGCAATATAAAGCTTTGTCTATGTTAAGGAGGGCCTTTGTTTTCCTGCACTTAAAATGATTGAAGTAGATCCCTACTTAATGATAAACAGTGATATTCTAAAGTAAAGAACTTAAGGTAATTTTAATTATCTCGACTTCAGGAAGCTTCAAGAAAATTTGCTTAGGTTTTAACTTGAATTGTAGTAAGGATTTTATGGTTTAGTAGAGGAAGAGTGACATTTTAAATTGAAGGTTTTTTCACCCTAATAATTAAAATAACAATACTTAGCAGACTTTCACAATACTACAAACAAACAAAACCAAACTGCATGGCCTGTTTTTGGTTTTAATTACATGGAGCCCTTTCCAGCAGTACTTGTATATAGAGGCTTGATTGAAATAGCTGCATAATTCCTGAGCAGAGGGTTTTTCTTTGCTGTAATTACATTCGTGCAGTGACTCATGCTTTCTTAATGCCTAGATTTTATAATTCAAAGGAAAATGTTTCCTTGAAATTTAAAAGCCTGGAAGACTCAAAAGTTGTTTTTTAAAAAATTTTTTATTACTACTTCTGTTACTACTACTACAACTACTAGTCCTCTGAGAAGTATTTTACTTAAATTATTTGATTTCACTCATGCTAGCTCCAGTATTGGGGAATTTTGTCACTTGACATCAATTTAGAAAGCATCCCACAGCTATCCAGCATAGGGGTAGGCTTTTCTGGATTCAGGGACTTGAGCAGCAGAGATTTGAGTCTTTCACTCTTGTATTTACCACTGGTATGGCTCACTTTCTTTTAAGTGTCTGCTTGCTTTTGACTTAGTTTCTCTTTCCTTCGTCAGCTGAAAGATTTTTTTTTCTGAATTTACTAGTTCATATTCCCAAGAGAGAGAATCTGGCTGCCTCTGCTAAGAAACATACCTCTGTATGGTAATGTTTCTCTCCTACTTCTGGGGAAGTTGTTTCAGATTGATAGCAAGGCTGGGGGATAGTCCTTTGCAAACATCTGGCTAGTACCTCTCCTGTTTGGGTAATAGGGTGAGATGTGGATGCTGGGGCAATTACCAGTTTTGCCTGAAGCAGGTCTTTACCATGCAGCTTTACTATTTTGTTAGAAGCCCTTGGAAATTTGTGAAATACTTTGACACACTCATGGGGAAAAAAAAGACAACTGTTGATTGGCTGTACAACAGCTATTCTTTCCACCACTCTCCTTTCCCCCAATATTGTTCAACTCTTTCTGAATAGTCATGATGTTCAAGGGAGGTGGGGGAGAATCTTGTTCCAAAGACACAAATGTTCTTGCCACAGGATTGGTTTAGGTGTGGCCATGTGATGTAATTCTGGCAAAAGATACTTGAGAAGGTGAATGCTAGGAGCTTTTTTGTGGAGCATTTGCTTTTGATGAGAAATACAAGGCTTTCTTTTTTTTGCCTTGGGATATATACATATATATTTTTTTGCATGAAATGCTTAGAATTACAGTAGTCATATTATGGTCATGAGAGGAATCAGTTAAGAGAACAGGCCATCCACCATGCTGTTGGCAGGATAGAAAGTTGAACATACTCTTAGTCTTACTAGTGATGCGGAGCCACTACATGAACCAACCGTGGAACTACCCTGATGTCAGGTGGGAAATTACACTGATGCAGTGGCAGCCCGTAAGTGTGCTACCAGGCAAGCTATCCCAGAGGTAAGGGAACCAGAAGTTCCCACAGATCAAATTCTAATCCTCAAATCACGTGGTTTGCCAAGTTGATTTAAAGCACACAGTGAGAAGCAAAAGGAAGGAGTTTGGTAGGTTAGCATGCTTGGGACAGGTGCAAGCAGGGTGGAGGGGGCCACACCAGCGAATCCTGCGTGCACAGTGTTCATATGTACTGCTTCTTTTTCTGCTGCAGATGCCTCCCCTGCTGATGGTGTGGTTATAAGGACCAGAGTTGAGGTTTGGGCAAGTCTCAGAGATGGCAGGTGCCCCAAGCTAATGACACCCACTTGCCGTATCTGAGAAACACTGGGACAAATATACCTGGTCAGTGGCTGTGGCTTGCTCTTTAGCCCAAAACACAGTCATGAATTCTGTTTGTGTTTTTTGGAGAACACATGGGGCAGGAATGAGTGTCAGCAGCTGTTGTTAACCAGGGCTGTTTTGTCCCCCAGTGTATATTTAGCAGTGTCTGGAGACATTTTCGACTATCATGACTGGTGCATGCTACTGGCATCTAGTGGGTAGAAGTCAAGGATGCTGCTAAACTTGCTACAGTGACCAAGACAGCCTCCCAAGACAAAGAATTATCCGGCCCAATATGTCAGCAGTGTCAAAGTTGAGAAACTTTGGTTGAATTAAGACCTCATGAATATGAAGTGCTTGTGCATATTTAGTGTATACTGGATATTTAGTGTCTCTTGTATATTTAGTATATTATGAACATTTATTACCCACGTGCACTACAAATATTAGATATTTATTAATCTTCTGTCACTTTCTATCAATGTGTAACACATACACAATCTTCTTACACTTACATATCCTATGAATTCTGCAAATGTCTAACAAAATTTTGCTTATTAGCTACTCATAAATACTTGAAACATCTTAAAAGGACTGAATAGTGTCAAAAGCAAGTTCACATTACACTTGCCCTGGAATTTCTAGCAAGAGATAAGATGATAAATGTCTTGATTATTTAAGCTACTTTTAGTTGTATTTTCCTTAAGTTGCAGCTTAGTGTATCTTAGCTGGTTCCCACATAAAGTCAATAAGAAAATGCATTCTAAAGATAAATGAAGCATGAACTTATACAATTATAAGTTTCCTAAATGGTAATATAAGCATCAGATTTTGTAGGACTATGGTGCCTATGTTAATGAAATGCTTGTTTGATTGTTCTGTTTACATTCAAGCAGCCGTAGGCATGGTTCTTTGTGCTCAGAAATTCACATTTTTTTATGATTGGAACAATTTTGGTTTGGTGAACTTGAGTGCACTTTAAAAAAGATTTTTTTAGTTGGCTCAACGTCTTTTAATAGAGTATCATTAGAAATTTATAGCTTCTTGTATTTTTATTAATGATAATTTTATTTATATTTTAGTGCTTTAAAAGATTAAAGACATTTTATGGAAGTTGTGTCTTGAGGCAACTCCATTAAAGGGGAAATTTTTTCATATATGTGAAATTAAAGAGAAGCATATTTAAGATTGTAGAAACATTTAAAGTTAATATAAGAAGATTGTTTAGGAGATATTTCAGAAGAGAATTATTTTCAAATGGTGATGGTATATTCCTCTTCATTTCCTTTAACTTTGCCTCCTTTTTATGATGTAAACTAATATTTTGTCAGATAAAAATATTAAACTAATATATTAAACTGATGTGAACTAATATTTTGTCAGATAATATCATAAAGAAATATGATAAGGTATGGTAGACAACTTAAACTACTTGCTAAAAGGCTAAAGTAAGAAAATTAAAAATAAGGTGTCTTAAACATAATCATGTGCTTATGATAGTTTCCCACGACTGTTGGTTGGATCAGTGGAATCAGCTGTGCTAAGCAATGAGGTGTAGTCAGTTCAACTTCATCTCCTGTTTGAAATACTGGGTTCTGTGTGTGTACGAGAGAGAGAGGGGGAGGAGGGGGGAGATCGGGAGGAGGGAGGGGAGGTAGGGAGGGAGAGAGAGAGGGAGAGGGAGGGAGGTAGGGCAGGAGAAGAGAGAGGGAGGAGGGAGGGAGGTGGAGGAGAGAGAGGAGAGAGGGAGGGAGGTAGGGAGGGAGAAGAGGAGAGGAGAGGAGGGGAGTAGGAGGAGAGAGAGAGAGAGAGGAGGGAGGGGAGTAGGGATGGGAAGAGAGAGAGGAGGAGGAGGGCGGAGTAGGGAGGAGGAGAGGGAGAGGGGGAGGAGGGGAAGTGGGAGGAGGGGGAGAGGGGAGGGAGGGGGAGGTAGGAGGGGAAGAAGAGGAGAGGAGGAGGGAGGTAGGGGGAGGGGAGCGGAGAGGAGGAGGAGGGGACGGTAGGAGGGCAAGGGAGAGAGCGAGGAGGAGGGGAGAAGAGGAGGAGGAGGGGAAGAGGAGGGAAGAGAGGGAGAGGAGGGAGGGTAGAGAGGGAAGAGAGAGAGGGAGGGGAGGTAGGAGGAGGGGAGGTAGGGAGGGAGAGAGAGAGAGGAGGAGAGGGAGGGGAGGAGAGGGAGAGAGAGAGAGGAGGAGGGAGGGAGGGTAGAGAGGGAGAGAGAGGAAGGAGGAGGAGGGAGGAAGGTAAGAGGAGGGAGAGAGGGAGGGAGAGAGAAGTGTTAGACCTATAAAGGTTTGATTTGGGGGATTAAAGAATTGTTAAAACAGATACATGTAAATGGTTTATATTTTCAGAGTCCTTTAATCATCATTTATTTTTGCCGTTGCAGTGATTTGCTGTCCTCTGAATATATAGAGAGACATATTGAACATGGAGGCAAGACTGTGGAAGTTAAAGTAAGTAAAATTTGCCTGTGTTTGGGGGAAATTTAATTTAGAGTCTTTTAAATACCACTGATTATGATTTTAATTTTCAGCAATATTTCTAGTGTACAGTTTTGAGGGTTTTAAAAGAATATTTTATAATTTATTATGAAAGTATCACATACTTGTGAAAAATAAACTTTTAGTTATTAGAAAAATAATTTTTAGTGTCCTATAGGAATGGTTGGACTTATGTTTTATAGGATTGATACAGCTGCAAATAGTTCTTTTTAGATTATGTCACAGAAAATAGTTTCTCAAATTTGCCTTTAAGGTTAGCCCTCAGAACCAAGCGGTGAAATCTTGTGTCCAGAATAGGTGCGTGACTTTGCATTCAGTTGTGAAAGACCTTCCCCTGGTAAATGTAAAATTATTAGATCTACATGGAAATCTCAGGGAGTTTAAAATACCTAGAGATAGGCTGGGTGCAGTGGTTTACACCTGTAATCTCAGCACTTTGGAAGGCTCACTTGAGACCAGGAGTTTAAGACCAGCCTGGGCCACATAGCGAGCCAAAAAACTTAAAAAAAAATTTCCTGGGTGCAGTGGCTTGCACCTGTAGTAGCTAGGGAAGCTGAAGTGGGAGGATCTTTTGAGCCAAGGAGTTCCAGGCTGCAGGGAGCTATAATTACACCGCTGCACTCCAGCCTAGGCAACAGAGTGAGACCCTGTCTCAGAAAAACAAAACAAAGCAAAAACCTAGAGACAGAAATCTTTTGATACTGGTCATGACAGGTAAGCTCTGAAAATATTAACACAAATAAAAGCCTGTTATAGCTATAGGCATAAGAAAGTGTGTTTTTTCCTAGTCTGCTGATGATGTAATTTGAGAGCATATAAGATTAAAAGCCACCCGAGTGTAGGGCTTCTTGTTGATCAATGTTTACTGTAGTGAGTTTTGGCCAAGCATTTAAATTTTCTTCTGAACAGTGTTCAGACTATCTGTTCTACCTCATCTGAGTTATAATGCCATTTGTTCATATTTATTTCCTTTTTCTGATTATAAATTTGATATATGCTCATTTTAGAAAACTTGTAAACAGAGAAGAAAAGTATAATAAAAGAGGAACAGTTATCCTTAAAATCATCACTGAGAGTTAAACTTTGTTTTCATTTGGTCGTATTTCCTTTTAGTGTTGTATCCTATGCATAAAATTTATATATATATTTTTACATAGTATCCCATATCTACAAAATTGAATCTTGCTTGTTTTTTAGTAAACCCTATCATATTGTAAACATTTTCCTGAGTTATTTTCCCATAAAGCCTATATTTGTTCTTTTCCTACTTACCTATATTACTGCAATAAAGCTTTTTATTCAAAGCTAAATTCTATCAATAACCAAAACAAATTACATGGTCCCCATTCAAATGACAACCTGAAGAGAATTGGTCTTTTCAGATATATATATTAATTTTAAAAAGAAAACGTTTTATTATAGAAAATTCCAGACATGTATAGAAGTAAAAAGAATACAGTAATAAACTCCATCATACCATCATCCAGCACTGACAGTTATCAACATTTTGATCTTTTCTTTCTCTTTACGTGTGTGTAGTATTTTAAAGCAAATCCCAGACATTAAGACATTTTTCCAATAAATACATCTGTGTCTATACATCTCTCATTGATAGAGACTTAAAATCTGTTAATTTTTATAAGTGATCTAGATATAAAAATTTTCCAGTTCCTTCAGAAAGTTATTCTAAACTTAAGACTAATTTGTTGATTGATTTATGTTACTACCTTCCTGACAAAAGGATATTGGGATCCTTTTAGTTATGACACAGGAAAATGGAGTCATTTTGCTTACAGTTGGGAAAAAATTACCTAGATTTAGAATTTCCGTCTCCTTTTATTCTCATCCCTGTTTATTTGGCATCACTTCTCTATTTTGTATGATAATGTTTTTCTGAATATAGAGTATCTCTTACTCCTTTGTTAAAGAAGAAATAGGCAGCTCACTATCTTTTTCCATCTGCGTCTGTCAGTGAAATGATGGAATGCAAATACCAGCCTGGAGGGTGGATCAGGCAAACAGCTATCTGCTGTCTCTATGGTAATATCCCTTTTCAGAAAACTTGTACTTAATCAGCAAAGTGTACTCTACTCTGAGATTGTTATCCTCCTATGAAGGATACACAAAGCAGTGACTGCCACACAATCTTTGCCGGTTTTCCAACCTGAGACTTGCACTCCCTTGCTGATGGTTTTCCTAACTCCTAAGCCTGTCAAACTAGGGAAATGATAAATACAGATTCATTCAAACTCTAGGGGCAGAGGACATTTCTTTCTACCTTTAAGAAAACCACTTTGATCTTATCTATCACCTCCTTTTGTTTCAGTCCATTTAAAAATCTAACTCAAAATTCCCCCGAGTTTTTTGCCAGAAACTACATTGAAGTGCTGAATCCTGCCCATTAATTCAAATATTATTTCTTGCTGGTTCCCTCTTGTCTTGCCCTCTGTGCTTAGCTCTTTGGGATGTTTCTTTTTACATGAAATCTGATAGTATTCTCCTTTTTTTTATTAATGACTCAGGATTTTCTTAAGCTTTTCTTTTCACTATTACACTATGAATCAAATACAATTACAGTATTTCATATTTTTATTTTCCTTCCCTCCACTACCTTTAAAAAAAAGAAACCCTGAAAGACACAAAGATACATTAACATATATCTTTTAGTTTGTTAGGGCTGCCGTAACAAAGTACCACAGACTGGGTTGCTGCCTTAAACAACAGAAATTTATTTTCTCACAATTCTGGAGGCCAAGATCAAGATGTTGACAGGGTTGGTTTCTTCTGAGGTCTTGCTCCTTGGTTTGTATGTGTTGTTTTTTCCTGTGTCTTCACATGGGCTTCCTTCTGTGCATATCTGTGTCCTAATCATTTCTTCTTATAAGAACACTGTTCATATTAGATTAGGGCCCACCCTAATGACCTTTTAACTTACCTATTTAGAGATCCTATCTTCAAATACAGTTATATTCCGAGGTATTGGGAGTTAGGACTTTAATATACACATTTTGGGGCAACACAATCCAACCAGTAAATAACCCCTTCCTTAAGAGCCCTATAAGGTTTTTTTGTTTTTTTCTTAAAGTTGTCTTTTCTTTTGGGAACAGAGGTAAACAAAAAATTATATGAAATCAAATCTAAGAATTACTTTTTTTGTGTCAGTTGGCACAAACATTGCCATATATATCTTAAGAATGAAAAATTAAAATCAAAATCATTATGCCACATTTAACAACGGCTAATAATTGGTTAATCCACAAATGGCTCTTCCCAGGTGTCATTGAACTTTTTACTTGTGAAAATTCAGGTGTAATGCATTTGATTTAAGGGTGTGAGTGTGAATGTGGGAAAAAGGAATACATTTGCAGGGAAAAAAATTTAAATAGCTGCTTTGGTGAATCTTTTAGATTGCCATTTTATTTTTAAAACCTTTTAAATTGTAAAATAGACCATTGACATGAAACTCTCATACAACAATGTATAGGCTGATGAAATATTACTAATGGTGAACACTCATTACCACCATTCAGTTCAAGAAATAGCTTGGCCAGCTTTTCCATTTGCTGCTGCCCAAGCCCAAGCCCCTCCCTCCTCTTCTTATAAGACTTATAAATACTCTCCTGAGTCTTATGGTAATCCCTTCCTTAATTTTTTTAATACTTTTATCACCAGAGCATGTAGCCCTATAATTTTGATTTACCTGTAGGTTTTAAAAATTGCCTTTTTTTTTGTTTCCCCTTAAAATTTGTTTGTTGAGGAAACCAGATTGTTTATACTACTCAATTTCCTATAATCTGGATTTTTTTTTTTTTTTTATGAGACAGAGTCTCACTACTGTTGCTTAGGCTAGAGTGCTGTTGCATCAGCCTAGCTCACAGCAACCTCAAACTCTTGGGCTCAAGCGATCCTCCTGCCTCAGCCTCCTGAGTAGCTGGGACTACAGGCATTCACCACCATGTTCGGCTAATTTTTTCTATATATTTTTAGTTGTCTGTTATTTTCTTTCTGTTTTTAGTAGAGATGGAGGTCTCGCTCTTGCTCAGGCTTGTCTCAAACTCCTGAGCTCAACAGATCCACCTACCTCGGCCTCCCAGAGTGCTAGGATTATAGGCCTGAGCCACCTCCACCCCGGCCTAATCTGGATTTTGATGTTGATTGCAGTTTTGTATTTAGAGTTAAAAAAATATATATTAGTGATTGTTCCCTAGCATAAAAATTTGTATTATCTATAGGAGCAGTATATGCCTCATTCAAGTCAGTTTTATCCTATTCAGATAATACTGATTTTAAAGTTCTATTAAAAGTTCTTTTTAAACCTTTTTTCCAAAGAATATGAAGATAAAGTCTTTATGCAGGGGAAAAAAGAGACACATACTCTTTGTTCCTTTAGTAAGACAAATTAATCTCATCTTACATTAATTTTCAATCCATTTAAAAATGAAATTCTAAATTTACCCCTCTGTTTAGGGAGAACTTTTATGTGTCCGATAGGGAATTTAAAAATAATTTTAGATCTAAACCTCAACTAATCAGAATACCTTGGGAATGTAATTTTTAATTTTAATTGTGGAGGACTAGGACTCTGGATTCAGACAAAGGAAGCTGGAATTGATGAATAATGTCAACAGAGACTAAACCATGCAGTTTGCTATTTTATAGTTAGCCAGCTTTTTTTTGTCTTGAAACCGAAAGCTGCTGGTATTCTAGTTAATTGAAATTCCAGTTAGATAGGCTTTAGTTAATCTGTATTATAATATTACTAATAGTAATAACAACATTTATTACTATTAGTAATAACCAACATTTATTGCATGATGTGACAGGTACATGAATTTATCTGTACTATTCAGGTCTCAGAGCAGCCTGTGACTATAACTATTATTCTACTTTATAGAAACTGAGGCACTAAGAGGTTACCTCACTTTGCTGAAAGTAACACAATAAGGAGTAAT